ATCAGGCTGAGAGACCATGTGTTAGTTAGAGGGTCACTGGATTGTTCTGCTTTATTTAAGAGTTTCAAACTAAGAAATCATTTAAACATGACTTCATCCAGTCTACCATTTAATTATGAGCTAAATAAAATGCTGTATCAGACCTTGAGAGTTTATTAAAGGCTTAAAGAAACTGCCTTTATGAAGGAAGCTATTGTCCTCTCAAACATGTTGTTTACAATAGCCTAGCTTTAATTCCTATTCAGGAGTTGGTCAGCTTAAAAGTGCTGGCCCCACTCCACCTTCCAGCGCGAAGAGCATGTGTGTGTGAGGTTGTTGTGCACCTTCGGTCTATAAAAGGAAAGGAAAGAGGCTGGTTGTAATAAATATGACATACATTACTCCCATTCCCCCTTTTCTTCTTGCCAGGCTTCAGGAGGAGATTGCACTGAGGGAGGAGGCAGATAATACTCTGTCCGCTTTCAGAGCAGTGAGTCCCCTAAACACCCCCCTCTATTGGTTTTATTAATAAACATTAAAATGTGGCATAGATTTATTTTGGTATCACATCGACTCTCAGGACGTGGATGCTGCCACGTTGGCCCGCCTGGATCTGGAAAGACGTATAGAGACTCTCCAGGAAGAGATCGCCTTCCTCAAGAAGATCCACGAGGAGGTCAGCACATTTAAAGACTTTTCATTTAGTTAGTCTGTGCCATTTTGACTTAGTGGTGCACACACACACAAACTAACTAATAATATTGTAGCTTTTTCAGTAGCAAACCTTTTTACAAGTACTGTGTTGAGTGATAAAACGTTGTTGTTCGTCACACAAACACAGCCAGGTAAGTCAGCTAAAATGTAACATTTTGTGTCCTCTGTCTCATACAAACTATATCAATCAGTATGTTCATTTAAAAAAAATGTATTCACTGATTTATATGTCGTATTGGAAAGTGAGAAGACTCACTTGTCTCATACAAACTGATATTTATAAAAATTTTTGGTTCAAAACTCAAGTGATATTTGTGAATTAGTGTGTCAGACACCTCATGCATATATGAATCTCTTCAAAAATGATTCACTGAATCATTTGAGTCTCTTTATTTAGGCCCTTGTTGGCATTTACAACTTTTTTTGCAGTGCAATATTTGGTTAAATTCTGCTGTTTGTCACTATATTTTGCTCAGTTACAAAACTTTGGGGTCAGCACGATTTTGAAACGTTTTTGAAAGAAGTCTTTTTTAATGCTCACCAAGGATTTATTTGATCAAAATAGAGAGTAAAAACTGCAATTTTGTGAAATAGTATTACAATTTATAATGACATTTTAATATATTTTTTAAATGTAATTTATTACTGTGGCAAAGCATCATCACTCCAGTCTTCAGTGTCACATGATCCTTCAGAGATCATGTTAATTTTCTGATTATTTTCAATAACTTCTGATTTGGTGCAAGAAACATTTCTTATTATTGTCATTTTTTGTGATATTTTGTTTTCAGGATTCTTAGATGAATTCGAAGTCCAAAAGAACAGCATTAATTGAAACAAGAAATATTTTGTAACATTATAAATATCTTTACTGCCACTCAACCAGTTTAATTATAAAAAGTAATTATTTCTTTAAAAAACTTTTGAATGGTAGTGTATATTTATTTTGTAGTTTTTAAATTTATATTTCATGAGCCTATTCTGTAGCAGATAAAGGACCTACATTAAATTATCTATAAATGTAAAAAAAAAATTAAATCATCATAATACAATGCGCTTATTGTGTCCATGCATGTTTTTACGTTGTTGAGCCCATAGTTTTAATTTAGCTTAAAGCTTTGAAAGCTGTAGTTTCAAAGTAGCTTCTCCAACACAGCTGAGCCGAGTGAATCTCAGAGCTCTATTAGACCTGCATCTGTTCCTAAAGATGAAACTTTGACTTTGAACCTCAACATGAGAGGCCTCTGCTTCAGGGCCAGGTGTGTGTGGATGTTTGACATTAGTCCTGCCAGTAGTCCTTTTATCAACAATGCTCTATTAGAACAAGCACAAGCTTTTTCTTCCTCTGTGTGTAGGAAATCCGTGAGTTGCAAGCCCAGATGCAAGAGACCCAAGTCCAGATCCAGATGGACATGTCCAAACCAGACCTGACTGCTGCCCTGAGGGACATCCGTGCTCAGTATGAGGGCATTGCTGCAAAGAACATCGCAGAAGCCGAGGACTGGTACAAGTCAAAGGTGTGACAGAAGAAAGAGACAAGTGAAAGGAGAACCTGCTGATCTTTGACCTTTTTTTTTTTTTTTTTTCACCATCAGGTGTCAGACCTTAACCAGGCAGTGAGCAAGAACAACGAGGCTCTCAAACAATCCAAGCTGGAGAGCATGGAGTTCAGACACCAGATCCAGTCCTACACCTGTGAGATCGATTCCCTCAAGGGCACTGTGCGTTTGTCTGTTCTATCTGATGTGGATTGCTCTGTTCTTTTGCCTTTCTTCATGTGTCATTCATCTTTTTCTCTCTCACTCTGCAGAACGAGTCTCTCATGAGGCAGATGAGAGATATGGAGGATCGCCACGGTCGTGAGGCCGGCTCTTTCCAGGACACCATCGCCAGGCTGGAGGCGGAGATCTCTAACATGAAGGATGAGATGGCACGTCACCTGAGAGAATATCAGGACCTGCTCAACATTAAGATGGCCCTGGATGTGGAGATCGCCACCTATAGGAAGCTGCTGGAAGGAGAGGAGAGCAGGTACAAAGGACAGGAAATCAAACAGATGTGTTCTTGTTGTTTTATACTGATACTCCATCCTTTCTGCTTATTCTGATGGCTTTTTCTTACTTTTTTTTAATCTTCTTTCCTCTCCCTCGGTAAAGGATTGTGATGCCCATGCAGGCGTATTCCACTATAAGCTTTAGAGGTAAGATGAAAACCTTGTTAACTAGATGTTTGTATGCGTTTCCTCAGAGGCCACAGGGGGGCGTTGATACCTGACTTAATGCAATTTGTGATGCCTTGTTTATGATTTTTTTGAAGACTCTATTTAAATATTGAGTCAATTTAAACAGAATGTGAGCGTTAAATATATTTAGGCCTAGTATAATTTAATTTTTACTTCAAATATTTTTTTTATGTAATATTTCAAATAAATGCTGTTCTTATGATCTTTATATTCATCAAAGAATCATGAAAAAAGAATATCCCAGTTTCCACAAAACATTAAGCAGCACAACTGTTTTCAATATTGATAAGAAGAAATGTTGATAATTTTACATTAAGATTCCATTTGTTAACATGAAATAACAATGAAAACTGATTCTAAAGCATTTTTTTTATCTTAGTCAATGTTAATTTACGAATGCATTATTAAAATCAAATGCTGTATCTGTTCATATTATTTAATGGACCGGAGCTATAATGAACTAACAGTTGTCGGCTATTTTTATTTACTAACGTTAACAAAGATGAATAAATACTGTAACAAATGTATAGGTAATGTGCTCATTAACTAATGTTAACTAAAATGACCTTATTGTGAAGTAATACTGGAATGTTTCTTGAGCAGCAAATCAGCTTATTAGAATGGTTTCTGAAGAATCATGTGACACTGAAGACTGTTGCTGATTGAGTAGGCCTAATGATGCTGATTCAGCATTGCGATCACAGGAATAAATTACATTTTTAAAATATATTTTATAAAAACTTATTTTAAATTGTAATAACATTTAACAATAGGCTATTACTTTTTCTTTATTTTTGATCAAATAAATTAAGCATCGGTGAGCATGAGACTTCTTTCAAAAACATTTTACAAACCCCAAACTTTTGAATGGAATATGTTTATTAATATCATTTTCAACAGAGACGAGTCCAGAGCATCAACAGAGAGCATCTGAAATGCACTCAAAGAAAACGGTCCTGATCAAGACCATTGAGACACGTGACGGAGAGGTGTGATGCATGCGCGCGCACACATCCACACATTTCAGTTCATTCTCCCTCATAACATCATATGCAAAACCAGCTTCACCTTAGATGCAGTAAAATAGTTTTGTGCTCAAAATAGTCTAATAAAACATCAAAATTGAATATTGTAAATCATTAAATAAAGTAACATTCATTGCAGAAGCCTGCTGACAGGAAGAGATGTCTTTGAATTTAAACGAGTCTACTGCCCCCTACAGGTGGTGAGTGAATCTACACAGCACCAGCAGGACATCATGTAAACCTCGGACGAGAAGACGAAAATAAAACCTTTAGGACAGTTAATCATATTCTGTACTTTTTTACCCCTTTACATCCTAAAAGTGATACGAGCACACATCTGCATGAGTGGGAGAAGAGAGAGACTTTAAAAAAAAAAAAAAAAAGTCCAGTATGTCAATTTGGAATGATGTAAGGTAGATTAATCTTTAAATTTTAAATAAAGTACAAAGAAATATTAAAGGAGGTGTGAGTGCAGCAAATGGAGAGAGGTGGAAGGCAGACTAAGCCAGCAAAATGGAGAAAATTGTGATGGTACCAAGCATTAAAAAAATAAACTAAAGATGCCTAAACCAACACATTGCATTATGTAATCTTTCTGTTTGTGTGTCTGTTCACCTATACATAGTATAAGACTGCTCCTAGACAAATAAATCATAGACCACAAGAGACAGTGAATTCACAAACTTTACTATAACCAGGCCCATACAAACACATGCTGTTGTACAGTGTTAAAAAAAAGTTGATGTCAGATTGTCAAAGGTTTCATTGCATGGGGACTTTTAGTCTTTAAGACTACGCTCCGTTATCAGAAAGTAAGTAATAAAGAAAACATGACAAGCAAATTAACCAAACTAATAAATACCACCATCCATTCACCTGTCGGGACTCAAAATCCCTAGAAAAACAATGAATTAGAATTAAACCAATATCTAATAAATATGAGAGGCCATGTTGAAATGGATATACTAAATGTGCATTATATGTACATAACATAGACTTTCCTGCTTTGCAGAATTTAAGTGAGTGAGAGAGAGAGAGAGAGAGAGAGACACCATGGCAGAAACTGCTCATTTCAATTATTTGTATGAAGATGAACATGAAAATGCATTGTAAAAAGAAAATTGGGGTGTTTATGTCATGCAGTTTGCCCCAAGGGATTGCGGGGGTCTTTTTAGAAGGATGTTGTCCTCTTGGACACCATAAATGTGCACTTGTATGGCACTGCAAACTAGTTTTATACACAGCAGTAACTGAACAGTCATGGTGACATCCCTTTTGCACTTGCCTCAGAGGGGACATCATCATCATTTTTGCATCATCATTCTGTGTCCTTGTCATTTGTAGTTCTTCTCCCAATACTCCATAACATTCACGCCGTCCCTGAGTAACATCTTCACTTTTTTCCCATCATCTTGACTTGTCCTCGTTCGTTTTATCACCAGGTGTTCAGCTCTGCATCCCAGAGTGGACCAGGTGGCTCTGATCAGCAGTAATATGGCTCTTTGCCCTACAGCCTTTCTGAAACAAGGCTAAGGAGTTGCATTCTCCTGAGAGAGTTTCTTACTGGTGTCTCGAAGGCACCCCCTGCTCAACAGTATTTGGTTCAGTCCTGGGCGGGAATGCGGGATCTCACAGTACAGACACTGACTGGTGGAGTCCACAGACTTTACTATGAGAGGAAGGGCGGCTGACTTCGACATGAGTCAGCGTCATTGTACAAAGACAAGATTCAGCACCAATTGATGAATTTGTCACAAACAAACGGAAACGCAATATCGTGAAACACTGATGAACGGGCAACACGCTAAATTCACTACACTGACGTTTTTAGAAAATAAATTGACAGAATGGAGCCCAGATTGATTTTTTTTTTTTGACCACCTCATAATGGTTTCAATATTAGGTGAACAGAATGCCACATCTCAGGCACATGTTCAGGGAAAGTGTATTAGTGTAATTATGTGCGTGAAAGCAGCTCTTTAATAAAATAATGGTCTCGGAAGGATGAGTCCAGTATTATAGTTAGAAGTGCTTTAATTGTTCGGTTCTGAATGGTGAGGAGACCCAAGCCTCTGTGCGTGCGGGACCAAGGGTCAGGTCAGCACCAGAATTGTGTGTGTGTTTGTGTACGTGTTTATTTGTGAATTAGTGAGTGTGGTCAGACCCGAACATGTGGTCCAACCCCAGAAGTGAGGGGGACGGTAGAGCCACAGTCATAGTCCATATCCACACTTGTGTGACCTGAAGCCATCAGCCCGCCCACTGGATAAGCTCGTCCATCCACCTGTCTGTCCCGAAAACTCTGGATGTAGCTCTGCCGGAGACAAAAACACATAAATAGGTCTATATATCATAGGTATAGATTCAAAATATTACTACATTATACAGTAAACATAAGCTCAACCTTACTTAACATTTTGAAGCTTTGGGTGAACAGACTTTCAATGGAAGGACAGATATCTCTCAGATTTGAGTTAAAACATCTTCATTAGTGTTACAAAGATGAAAGAAAGTCTTATGGATTGGAACAACATGAGGTTGAGTAACTGATGACTTGATTTTAATGTTTGGGTGAACCCTTTAAAGGGAGACTTATTTCAAAATGTATAACATTATATATTATTATATATATATTATATATTATGAAAGTAAGTAGCCAGTGAACTGGGAGAAGAATAAAATAAATGTTATAGTTACCTCCCCAATGTCTTTGACAAACATAAAACACATTGTCAAATTATGTTTGAAAGGGGTTCAATTATTTCCCATAGATTTTCTGCTTCCATAGACATCAGCTTGTATTTTACAAACTATAAATGTTTTTGCTAGTACTTATGTGTATTTAAATGTCTGAAACCTAAAATAAACAAGAAAACACTGAACAGTTGTGATGTACGATAAGTCTCTCTCTGGCTTAGCGCCAATCAAAGCACAAAAGCAGATTTGAATTTAGCAGTTGATCACATGATGCACTGAGAGTTTTAAATACACTGGTGTGATTGTATGCGTCAAAGGGTTAAAATAAATTCTCCATCCAGATAATTAGAAAAATTAACCAAGCTAAAACAAATTCCCCAAGGAATTCATTAAGGGGGCATTATGACATTTTTTGACCCCAAGCCCCATTAATTTCGAACCCTGCCCTTCAGTATACGTGTATAATTTGTGCAAGTATGCATGTATAGGACGGTGTGTGTGTGTGGACTCACTGGAGAAAGTACATCTCCATCAAAGCGTCGTATAGGGTTGGGTTTCCTGCGGTAGGCAGGCTCTGGGTGCAGGGCTTTGGCGGCATGTGTGTGGCTTGAGTCCTGCTTCTGCTTCTTTTTTTTCTTCCTGCTGCTTTCCCTCCTCTCCTCCTTCTGACGAATACGCATGAGCTGAACTCGTCGCTGCTGACGACTGATCATCACTGAAAAAGTGAGAAAAAGTGCGTTACATAACAGTAACATACATTTTGTATATAATTGTCTCAGTTCACTCAAAATTTAAAACTATTTCTACTAATCATTTCTAAACTAATTGTTTCTATACAACTAAAGTGAATGGGAATGAACATTAAGCAAATGAAGCACCACAAAAGTACCATAAATGTAGTAATACAGCACACATGTGGTGTGTCATGTGATGAATTATTCCCAATCCATACAATAACTTAATGCAATGAACACAGACACTTAATGCGATGAACACAGACAGAGTATGTTTACATGCACTGTTAGTGGTGTACTATAACGGCTCCACCAGTAAGCCATTTTCTCCACATTTTCCCTTTAAATTTAATCATCCATTCTTTTCTAGTCATGCACACTCTTTAAAATCCTACATATGTTTGCATGATCACATAAGTCGCATTCTCTGGCACAAACCCAGGTGTAAAACCGGTTTCTCTTAATCCCTTAAATGGCTTTAAAAAAAGAGTTTGTGTTTACATGATGTTTCAGAAAGCTGCTTTCTGCAAAAACCCTGGAATTTTCTTAAAGGAGAACTCCGGCGCAAAATGAACCTTTGGTCGAATAAAACATTGGTACCTAGTCAACCATTCTCTGAGATTTGTTTTCATGTTAATCGAATGTAAAGAGTTTTATCTCTAAAAACTGTTTAGCGTATAACGCTAGTAATGGGGGCATATAATAAGTCAAAAGAAATCGCTAGTTTATACCACTAACAAGGCTCAAAACAGCCCCACACGAACACAGTAACATAATGAGGGTCCCTACATGCAAAACGAAGCATTGAGAATTTTGTAAGTGTACAGACCGTTTAATAAGAAGATAAACATAAAGACAGTCCTTTTCGAGTATACAGACAGGAGCCATCTTTGGAAAACAGTCTTGACTAATCAAACCACGAACGCCATTCATACAGTTCAGAAGTTAACTGAACTTCATACAGTTCAGCTCACTTAGCACGTCGTTCGTGGTTTGATTAGTCGAGACTGTTTTCCAAAGATGGCTCCTGTCTGTATACTCGAAAAGGACTGTCTTTATCTTTATCTTCTTATTAAACGGTCTGTACACTTACAAAGTTCTCAATGCTTCGTTTTGCATGTAGGGACCCTCATTATGTTACTGTGTTCGTGTGGGGCTGTTTTGAGCCTTGTTAGTGGTATAAACTAGCGATTTCTTTTGACTTATTATATGCCCCCATTACTAGCGTTATACACTAAACAGTTTTTAGACATGAAAACAAATCTCAGAGAACGGTTGACTAGGTACCAATGTTTTATTAGACCAAAGGTTCATTTTGCGCCGGAGTTCTCCTTTAAGCGTATAAACTTAGTCACTGAAATTTACATCTTTATTTACTGATAATCTTTACACAGCATGCTCTGTTACGAGAAACAGCGAAAATGATCAACACATAGCGCTAAAGTTGAATAGAGGGCTGCACGATTTGGGTGGGGGGGGGGGACTAATTGGAATTTTTCTGATAAAAATTGTGATTGCAAAGAGCTCCAGGTTACAATAGTATTATTACTATTGTAATAATACTATTTAACTGTAAAAACAGAGTAAGAAAAAATACCATTATGATTATTAATTTTTATTTTCCAGTACAACTGTAAAAATTACAATTCTGATATTTATTTCTTCCAAATCAAGCTTTTATTTTGGCTGAAAACTGCAGGGAGCTCTTAAATTCGCAATGAAATGGAAGTAGAGACAGCTTTTTTGAAATTGTACATCTGAGTAAAACAGATTATTGACATAGAAAAAAATGCCGGCGTGAAGGTTCCATGCATTGAGTGACTGTTAATTTGATTTTCAGGTCAAAATTTTTTTTTGAAGACTTTAAAGCTTTTCTCTTTATAAATGCTTTCGAGCTGCTTAGAGACACTGAAAACACCGTATCATGAGCTGCACACGTGGAAATTAACACAGTGCCGCATTTTCCTCTCTTTTTATTTAATAAAATCGCAGCTTTTGCTATTGATAATCACACTAAGCCATATTTCAATTTAATTTAGATTAATGATTCTGCCCTAGTATAAACTACTTTTATGGTCTTTTATTTTTGGAGTTTGACAGCATCTGTGCCTATTCACTTTCAAAAGAGCACTCTGCGCGTTCTGCTAAACATCTCCTCTTGTGTTCCACGGAAGAAAGAAAATCATGCAGTTTTGGAATGACATGATGGTGAAATAATGCCAGAACATTCATGTAAACTCACTCTTTAGGAAATTTGACATTAAATACTATTCAGTGGACACACACTTGGAATGGAAACTGCCTTGGAGAGACATGGAGAACCTCTCCATGACCTGATGCTCTGCTCTGCATGATTGTTTCTGTGATCATTAGTCACACAGGCCTGAGAGCACACCGACAGACAGGAACCATCTGTCGTGCTGCACACACATTCATACAAACCTTCTCTCCCTCTCCGGTACAGTAAATCTACAAGAACAGTGTGTCACAAACTCCAAACAACACTCTGTCTCCCTCTGACTCTGACTCACCCTTCGTGTGGGAGTAGCCCTCTGCCGTCACTCTCCACTGCACCAAAACACCCAGCAGGGCGAGAGCAGGCCAGGCTCCCAGGACCACCCACGTAGTCCAGCACACCGGCTCCCGGGGGCCCGTTTTCACCCGATCGTAAATGTACCTCACAAGTCCAAAGAGCTCCACGAAATAATCAGTGGCCACGACGATCACTGCAGCCCCGAACACGGCTGTGGAGAGCGTGGTGAAGCATCTCTGCCACTGCAGGGTGAGGACGGCGAACAGCATGCCCAGCCCCAGCAGCACGCCCAGGGGCACCCACACTGACCGCGGGGGATTGGATGACAGCTCCTCCATGCCTATCAGGGTCCCGATGCCCACCAGCAGGCCCAGGAGCAGCCCCACCATAAAAAGCCCGACGCTCCGTACCAGCATAGTCACCAGGCCGCACAGGGTGCCGATGCCCAGCCCGATGCCCACGCTGGCCTCAATGCTCAGCTGCGTGTCTAATACTCGCTCCTTGTAACAGAGCAGGAAGATGATCACAGAACCGAACATCAGACCCGTGAGGAAGAGTACAGCCTTAAAACAGCGGTAACCTGCAAAAGGGAAAGAGAACTGGAGGTGAGAGTTGAATGAGTGAAAAAATGTGCGAAAGAGTGAATTAGGGAGAAGAGAAAGACAATCCGAGGTGGATAAATACTGGAAGTTTGTACAGAGTGGCTGATTTCACAGCTCAAGAATAGCAGTTTATTAGCAGCTCAACACTTTCCATAGTTGTCAGTTTGGAAGAAAAAAAACCCTAAAACAAGACACAAATTACTTTAAAGTTGAAGCACTCAGGATTATACCTTTCATGTATAATACTAAAAAATAACAGGGTATTAAATAAAAATAAAATCACTAAAAAGTTCAATAAATTCTTTTTAAATGCTACAAGTAAATTTAGGCATCACATTACAATGTACATTATGAAAATGGATAAACACATTTCATTGGGTCATTCCGTGTCAACTCTTGACTAGAACATTAACAACATTAACAGGTATTTCCCTTCACTCCAAAACACATTAAATAACACTTAATTTAAACATTTACTCTCCAGATCCAGCCATATCCAAACCATGCTGGAAAATTAAATTCCTAAGTTTCAGTCAATGCAACAAAAATCATTCATGTAATCCCAACATGGATTAAGTAAACTTAAATTCTAAATATATTTAAGTGGATTGAACACATTGAAATTAAGTTAGGACAAAATGTATAGCAAATGTGTTGCCTTAGCTCATTTTAATTAAGTAATTTAAACAAGCAGCAAAATATTTCTTTTTTTTCAGTGTGGAACCACATTGAGATCCCCATGTCTCTGGGATTAAACCTAATAGAACCTTAAAAATTTACATTACAAAATAAACATTTATTAAGAAACATAATCTAGAAGGATATTAAGATATCTTTAATACTTTTAGAGTTACAGGCACACAGTCCTTTGGAAAAAGAATTTTTGTGGCACTCAGGTATGTTCAATGCAATTGTTTTGATAACTTTGAAACTAGAAATTTATCTAATTTTTCCTATTTGTTCTTCAGCTGTTCCTCTTTGAAAGAAAAAAAATGAGCGGTACTTTTAAATAGTGGATTATTCAGTAAATACACATCCAATACATTTAATATTTTATCTTTCATCACTATTTATGTTTGTCTTTCTTAATTTTTTTTTACAAAATAAAAAAATTTGGAGACGTTGAAGTTTCTCAAAATTGGTTGATTGAACAAGAATGACCAACCTTATAAGTTTATTCAGAGGCATAAAATATGCTCAAATTTGGTGTAGATGTTATTTATACAGATAACTTAATGTACATTAAATGCACATATGCAAATATATCAGTTTTCACTCTATAAATTGTCCGATTAAGATGATATTTAAATGCATAGTTTTACAAACAAGGCTGAGTAGTTTTAATTGTGGACGTTTTTAGAATTATTCTAAAAGGCTTTTTACTTTATTTAAAAAGTATGTACTATCAATCAGATAACAGAGGGTACATTGTAAATTGTGTGCAAACTGTTTTTTCAGAAAAGTTTATTTTCTCAACAATGCTTATTCAATGCTAATTGTTTGCATTTCTCATGCAACTTGGGTAGCCATTCAAAATAGAGAAGGCTTAAAGGTATGGTGTCAAAAACATCCATTCAATTCCATCTGACAGCTGTTGGCTAACAACATAAGTGGATTGAATGGTACAAAAAAAGTAGAATATGTTCCCTTTAAATCTGTAGCCATCTCAAGTAGACTGCTGTACAGTTATATAAGCTATGACCTTATTTAGAACCTCATCAATATTAAAAGAGGGCAAAAAACAACTCTCAGAACAAGAGAACATGGGTTTGACACAGAAACAGAACAAAAATTTAAAACCACCACCATAACTAATATATTCTAATAGGGACAGACTGCAAGCATGAGATCATGTGACATCAACAGATGTATCTTGGTAACATATACAAATATTGTGTCTTGGTAATGCATACATAAACATGAAGACTCAACTCACCAAAGAAGCAATAGATGATTCCGAAGAGACAGCACATGGAGCAGACCACCGAAGGGACCACCTCATAACGTCGTCCCGCTCCATCGCTACAAGGCTCCAATTGCTCTGGTCCAGCTTCTCTTGAGGGAGGGGCCAGCTTAAAGGCTAGGGTCTGCAAGGTGGACGTCATGGTGACCGTAGTGCACTGGACGGAGCGAACAGGTCGAAGGGAAGGGGTGACTGAGGGAAGGGGAAAGGGCTGGGAAATCAGGGTACACCACGTGTCCACATGAATCTACCTGTAAGAGAGAGAAAAATCTATGTAACTCCATGAAGAGACAAGGGCCATCCATTATGTTGCCTTGAGGTAAGGTGTAGTTTTCCTTGCTTTACCCTGGGCAAAAAAGCAGTTTAATTTTATGTATTTATGCTGAAATTACTACAATTTCGTGTCAAGCTATGTAATGTAATATATATATATATATAAGATCGGAAGACTAGAAGTTACAAAGCCAACATGGAATTAGCAGGAAAATCTAGCCAAGCCAAATTTATTCGTATAGCAGTTTTCACAATACATAGTTTTAAAGTATCTTGACAGAAAATCATGATGTTAATGTAACATATTTTAAACAATTTATTTGCTTATATTCGCATTCAGCAGATTAGAGTCAGGAGATAGATTACATTTTTCTACGATATAACAATCAAACAGTTGAGGTATGCCAGATATAGCATATTTCGCCCTATGCGAGTATACTGTATGCATATAAAGTTGGACATGCTTATACATCCAACTTTACATAAAGAGCAGTTATATAAAGTGTAATATGTTACATTTTGCACAAAAAAATCAGGCAGTTGAGATTTTCTATATAGTGTATACCTGTACTTTGTTTACTGTATGCGGATAAGGTTGGATATATAACTTTATATATGGAGCTGTGAAATAATGGTTTACATTTTGCAAAGACAATCTTGCAGCCAAGATTTCGCTATATAGTATATTGCTTTACATGGGAATACTGTATGTGCAGGGCAGGTGATGCTGGGTGATAATATAGTAAGTTTACATTTTTCAACAATAGAACTTATAAAATCTAACCTTAAAAAAATCCCTCGTAGTTAACTAGGCCTATATTTATTATGTTTAATGAAGTTTTACAGGGTCCGAATTACACTGACTCTTTCTCTGTCCTGCCCCTTTAGTTTTACCTTTCCCCCCCATCTCTGGCTGTTTGGAAAAGATGTTGGATAATGTAAAGCTAACGTTACTTTTATAAAATGTAGCTGATAGCCCATGTCCACGACACTACTGATATACAGGTCATTACTCACTCACAGATATTTGCCGTTTTATTTATTCTCTGCTTTACTTCACTCTTCTTCATTCCCTCCCTTTCTTTATCTTCCCCACTCACTTCCTCCCCCTCAACCAGTCTTGTTCAGTCATGCCCTTCTCCTCTGTCACATAGGCCTAGTTGTGGTTCATTTTGTGCTTAACGATGCCTATGCCTAATAACTGTTTAGCCGTCAAGTCTACTTTAAATGATCACAATCTAATCAATGATCACTTCTCTGACAGTTGTGTGATTGTTCTGGCACTGTTTACTACAGAATGGTGGTCGACCGATATATCACCAAGGCAAAATCTTGCAAGATTTGATATATATATTGCTTTACATCATGGGAGTATGTGCAGGGCAGGTGAAGTAGGATAAACTATTTATCCCACATTTAATATAATGATGGGCTAGAACATAGTAAGTTTACCATTTATTTATTAACCAATGATACAATATCAGCCGATATCTGGCTTTTTTTCTTTCTTTTTTTTTTTTTTAAAATAGCAGCATCGGCTGATAGGCTATGTTTTTCTGTTTAGCCGATGTATTAAAGTTAAGACTATGTTCACACTGTACATTTTTGGGATTGACAACCGCATTTACTTACAGGCATGAGTCTCAAAATGTCCCGTTACAGCAGCGTCTCGAATACTGTCTGTGTGAACGTGCAACGATCGAGTCAAGCCCGTCTCTTACCAGTAACCATAGTGACAGTGACCGAAGTAATATCAAAGATGGCGACGTCCATAAAACTGAAAAGTTTTATCACTTTTGACACGATAAGAGTCCAATTGACCCGCGAGTTTATCCGTCAAATCTTCATTAACCGACAGAAGTTTCAATGTAAACACACTCGCGTCTCACGAGAATGCGGCTGTGAGTTCTGCAATAGAACGCGGTTGTCACTCCCGTAAATAACCGAACTGTGTGTGAAGTTACGTAGCAGCTAACCGTATTAAGGCTTCAAATACAGGACCGACAACCGAATTCTGCTGCTGTATGAACGTGGCCTTGTTTTGACGGCGCTAGAACGCTGGATCTGAGAATTAAGCGCCTGAGCACACAGCGCTCTCATTCTCCGTCTTTATTTTCTGTTTAACGGTTTTGTCTAATACGTTACTAGATAGAACTGTTCAACAACAAAGAAAGTAAACCATTATAGCGTTTTATTGTACATTATTATTTATATTATTCTTTCTCGTTTACCGTCAGCATTCAGCAAAATCAAATACGCATTTGACAATAATAATAATAATTCGTTACATTTATATAGCGCTTTTCTGGGTACTCAAAGCGCTTTACATGGAAGGAGGGGGAATCTCCTCAACAGGGTTCTAAATTAACTTTTTTGATCACCAGCCAATGTGGCTGGTAACTTTCTAAAGTTACCAGCCAATCAGAATTTCCACTAGCCAATTTTTTTTCCGGTGAAAATAAGAGAAATTATGAGTGCCACTGAATGCATTTGATCATTTTATTAACATCTTTGGCATGAAAAACACATATAAAGTACAATATAACACAGAAAGTGCAAACATTTCATTTCAAGTTTGGGATCTATCTATCTATATCTATTAGGGATGTGCACGAATATTCGAATTTTCGATTTGTAATTATTATTTGAAAAATAAAATACTATTTGAATTTTTAAAAAAATTCTGCAGTTATCATTAAATGCACTGGGTGGAGCGTGTTTAACAAGTGGATTGTATTTGATCACATAATGTCATTGTCTGCCTCGCGAAGTTTGGAATTACTTAGTTGAAAATGATAGCCTATTACAAAATGGAATTACTTTTAATCAATTATAATTAAACTGAGTTATCATAATATCACCACCACAATGAGAAATCACATGAAATACAAAGAAACACCAGTCGACTGAGGAAGCAACTGTCCATCTCTGCATTAACAGGTCAGCAGCTGTACCCCGAGGGAATCGTGATCCGAGATGATATCTTCTGGTAGCAAAATGATTTTGAGACATATGCTTCCTTTAAGTTTCGTTGAGGGAGACAGGTTTAAGAACAGAAAACGCAAAGCTGTTACTTCACTTTGCACACACACACGCGTCTCTGCAACGCCTGTGTGTCAGCGCGTTTTCTCACTCGAGCATGTGGATATTATTGTTTTTCTCAACATGAACGTGAAACAATATAAACACGATAATCATACTTACTCGAGTATGTACGTTCTGTACGATAACTGCGCAGTCTGCTTTTTTAGCGTTTTTCCCCGTTCTCGCTGCTTGAGGTTAAATGCTTTTGTTGTTTATTTTTTGTGTACACATTGTTTAATGTTTTCAACTAAAAGAAAATCTTAAGATATATAGTAAGCTTGTTGTGTATATTGCCTAATGTATAAGCTTGTTCAGAAATAATGACAAAAACCTTAAACTTAAAAAAATAACGGATTTAGTTTAATCTTAACTTTTTACTTTACTAGCTAACTCCCTCATCTTTCAGTCTATGCTCCCTGCTCTGGCTCTGTTCGTTCTTCTTCTTTGTGTTTTCTGATGGACACTCCACGCGCAGCCAATGGGCGTATGAAACGTCATCACGTAGCATTACGGCACAGTGTTCATGGGAAATGTAGGAAGTACTGCCAGGAGGATAAATGACCGAGAACATAGAACATTATGTGTCACCGGCCAAACTGGCTAGTAAGTTTTTATTAACACCCGCCAAAATTAATTTTAACCCGCATTTGGCGGGTTGGCGGGTGTTAATTTAGAACCCTGCTCCTCAACCACCACCAATGTGCAGCATCCACCTGGATGATGCGACGGCAGCCATATTGCGCCAGAACACCCACCACACACCAGCTTATTGGTGGAGAGGAGACAGTGATGAAGCCAATCAGTATAGAGCTGGTAAGTCCCGCCCCTTCCGCTTACCCCGCTGGACCTCTAGGTTGAAAAATCGTCAATGCAAGTGAATGAGATAAAATAATTATTTTCTAATCCCGTTTGAATTTTGCAATGAATGTGAACATATGTTGTCTGTTAATTTTTTATATAATTTTTCGTGTAAAGAATGCTACAATTTAGCGGGTAGAATTTTCCTACGGTTAGACTTTGTGTGAGAGCACTTTGTGGACTACAACTCTTCGCTGCTTTCGACGCGTTTGATATACGTCACCACCACTAGCACACGGATCCCGCTAAACATGCCTGTGTCTTTGGTGCACTTCATGGTGACATTTGGGTACAAAACACACAGGCATCTCGACCTAATTCCTTAGATTATCGCACCGTGATTTGTGGAGGGAAAATGTGTTATGTGGTGACGTCACATATGCGACGTGAAGTCTTTCTCGTTATGTTTATTCCACAACTGCTAGCCAAAGAATCATACAATATACTGTCAAACTCGTTACATGAGAAATTATATAAAAAATTCACAGACAACATATGTTCACATTCATGGCACAATTCAAACGGGATCAGAAAATAATTATTTTCTCTCATTCACTTGCATTGACGCTTTTTCAACCTAGAGGTCCACTTGGAGTTTTACGGATGGGCAGGACTTACCAGCTCTATATGGGGATGATTAGGAGGCCATGATTGACAGAGGCCAAGGGGCAAATTTGGCCAGGATGCCGATGTTACTGGGATTTTTAATGACCACAGAGAGTCAGGACCTCGGTTTAACGTCTCATCCGAAGGACGGTGCTCTTTGACAGTATAGTGTCTCTGTCACTATACTGGGGCGTTAGGAGGACCCACACAGACAACAGGGTGAGCACCCCCTGCTAGCCTCACGAACACCTCTTCCAGCAGCAACCTGGTTTTCTCAGGAGGTCTCCCATCCAGGTACTAACCAGGCTCTGCCCTGCTTAGCTTCAGTGGGCAACCAGTCTTGGGCTACAGGGTGATATTTATATAATTTAAACAAATATTTGAATATCTAATAAACATTACATTTGATTTCACAAACCTTGCAGACTTA